TCTGGAACATTATAGTAGTATAATTTTATTCCAGGGGATTAATTCCTCCGCTAGCCAGGCCACGTAAAACGCACTTCTCCGTACTCCGCGTCCTCCGCAAGATGGTGTAGCCAAGTGCGACGAAACTTTAATCCTGGTGATGTAGTACTCTTATTCTGATCCTTGCTTTAAAAGTCTCAATACCAAGCAAGCGTTCCAGGAGTCCGACCCTCACAGCCCAGAAGTGAAGCTCACGGCGGGACCCTCAGACATGAGGTCAGGTAATGGCCTTTATGGGCATGGGGTTTAGGGTTTAGGGTTTCGTGCATGAGCCCAAGGCTCATGAGGATCTCCGGTGCCTGCTCTAAGGGAGTGAAGTCGCTTGTGTTCTTGATGTCGTGAGGAAGCGCGATGATGCGGGTCGACCAGGCCACCTGCCCCTGCCACCCCGCCCCGTCAGCAGAATCCCTGACATGCTGGTGCTGCAAGAACCGCTGCAAGAACCACTGCAAGCTTCTGGGCTCCAGCAGAGCATTTCGGGCCGCGCGCACTTCGCACATGAGTTGACTGCTCGGCAGGTCTACGCCGGGGCGCGAAGTCGCCGAAGGCGCCACCGCCACTGATGCTTCTGAGCACCGTCACGAGCTTTCCGCCAGCTCTCACGGAAAGCGATCATTCTTTAAGTGCGAGCAGCTTGCATCAACGAGTGCCAATGCCACACAACAACTAAGCAATTAGGTCAATTAGCTTGCATCGTTGCGCTGACAAGGACAAACCTGCAAATTCTATGAGGTATTGTTCAACTTAGTAGAAGACCGCCGGGTCGAGTTTAGTGTAGTTCACGGCCTGGACTGCATGCTTTGCAAGCCACAAAAATAGTGGCAATGTACAATGACGAAGTTGCTTCTGCCAGAAGTGGAAAATCTGTGCACGTGATGCATCTTGAGTGTGGATGCTCTCGGTATCTCTCGGTACTCTCTGTCAGCAGGACCTGATGCGATCGACAGAGTCAGAGCATTGTGCTACATGAATGTTCTTCCATGCACTCTTGGACTGTTTACGTGCTTGGCTGAAGGCTGGTGTTCAGATGTTTGTGTTGACAAGTCATGGTATGTGGCACACATGGCACTGTGCAGCGCATGCGCAACGGGAGACTGCGCCATCTAGACGGCAGTTGATATCAGCGCTGGTTTTGCTCATAACACCGCATCCTTCTGTGTCAAAGCCCCAGCTACTCCTCCAAAGCAAGCGTTTGATTTAGAGTAGGTAGGTTTCATGGAGCCAACTGAGTCCGATGCCTTCGAGGCGGATATGCTGGCCACGCCATGGGTCTGATTTTTGGGGCTCGGGAGCTTTTGCAAATCGGCAGGTTCCTAAGCCGCCAGAGACCGATGACCCAGAGGAGGTCGAGGAGCCAGAGAAGAAGAGGCGAGGGTGATATAAGTGATATGATTTGTATCATATTGTATGATTCTGTATGATGATACGGTATGCCGTACCCTATAAATGATATTAGTTAATACCATTGAAATATTGTGTTACCCGTGAAGCTCTGGCTGTTGGAGAGAGAGGCCTGCCCTTCCTTCTTGGGCGGTCCTCCCATGGCAACTTGGCTGAGTGATAGCCCAGCCAGTGAAGGACTAAGGGGGCTTTCCAAACTCCCATGCTGTCCCGTTTGACTGACGAGACATCTGGTTTAGAATTACGGAGGTATGCAGGTATGTCTGGCAGTTTTTCTCACCAGGCTGGCGCTGCTCAGCGGTTTGCTCCTGGTGCCGCTTTCTATCGGTGCAGAGGTCGCTGCGGAGCTACGTGTGGAGGCACCCTCCGTGACAGTCGACGCTGACGAGATGTAGCCCGGATAGTGCATGTGTTCCACACCTAGGAATCGCGTTCCCACATTTGGTGAAGACACCCTGAATGCTCCTATCTCGACCTGCCTAGACCTCCGGCCTCGTCAGAGCGGCCGGTGGAGGCAGAAAGACTGCTTTGTCCCGACTGATCCGCTTGACGTGAGAGGAAGACGGTTTCTTGATGTCTAAAGGCACTGCCGCAGCGGCAGGGGCAACAACCCAAAGCACCCTCCAAGAGTTGCAGACGCTGCCGGAGGCAGGCTGGCATTACGGCAATAGATATTGCTGGCCTCAGCGCGCAGTCGGTACAGCAGCGTCATACATGGTATAGTACCCTTATTCCCTTATAGTACCCTACACCCTGAACCCTTGAGGCAGACCTACGTCGCATTCGAGACTGCAGCTTCGTGCATCACGGCACTTTCCATCGCTTCTGTCTCAGCCTGTCCGTGGTTGTCTTGGGGCGCCGGGGGCGTTTGTGGCGACTCAGACGTCCTGGACACCTTATTCTGCACAAACTGAGGACTCCGGGTGGCCAGTCTCGTCCGCACCCGGACAGATGTTACAATTGCCTGCGGCCCAGCTAGGCTTGAAGCTGCTGTAGCACAGTTTCTTGCGAATGAAAGAAGCCTGGAGCTGTGCCCTTGGATGTGGAGTCGAGTCGAGTCCTCGGAGTCACTTCCTGTCTTGGTAGTGGTGGTCCTGGATCCGGGTTATTGCTAATCAGCAAACTCAGGATACCCACTTAATTCTTCAGTGGATGGACAAGGTTGCTCACATGTGATCATGCCAGCCATGCCAGCAGTGTCTGCAACAAGGTCGCCCCGGACCGGGCCACGCTTCAAATAGGCCCGGAGCGTACAAAGCGACTCTCAGGGAAGAAGCTGCTAAGGACATTTTGGGTTGTGTGGTGGTACCGTTTAGAGTTTAGAGCCTATCATCCATGGCTAAGCGGGACTTGTAGTAACCCTTTGAGCTCGCAGCTCGTGGCTCGAACAACATGTCTGCAGATGCCATCCATGCTACCTTCGTGTTGGCTCCCAGTGGCGTGATGCGTCCCTTCCGCTGGGCCCTTCTCCTAGTGATCGGCTGCTTTGCGCAAAACTATCGGCCTGGACATGTACCACCGGCACTGAGCCTTGCCAATTCGCTAGAGGAAGCTGAGCTTGCGGTGCGATAGTTAAACCTAAGACGATCACTACTGCTGCGAATTCGCTATCAGCCTTGCCATCATCGACAGCATCATCACCGTCATCACCACCATCATCATCACCATCCTCCTCCTCCTCATCATCATCATGGTCACCACCACCACCATCATCATCATCATCATCATCATTATCATCATCTTCATCATCATTATCATCATCTTCATCATCATCATCACCATCATCATCGTCATCATCATCATCATCGTCATCGTCATCGTCATCATCATCATCATCCTCATCCTCGCCATCACCATCACTTTCATCATCATCATCATTATTATTATTATTATCATCATCTTCATCATCATCGTCATCATCATCATCATCCTCATCCTCGCCATCACCATCACTTTCATCATCATCATTATTATTATTATCATCATCATCGTCATCATCATCATCATCTTCATCACCATCATCATCATCATCATCTCCACACCATCATCATCCTCGTCGTTGCCCTCCTCGTCGTCGTCATCGTCATCATTGCGATCTGCTGCTCGTCATCTCCGCATCATGGGTGTGATAAGCACGGAACATCTGAAGTGGCAACGTCTTTTTCTCAGGATTTGGGTACCTATGAACTCTTCGGAAATTTCAAGCGTTCTGGCGGTGCTTCGAGAAGATGCGGACAGCTGGTACTTCGTACCTGTCCTGGGAGAAAGTGACAGTGTGAAGTCTTATCCTGCAGAGATTAAGAAGGCGATGTCCACGGTGGGCTCATACATCTATGGGCCCAGCACTATCTACAGTGGCCACTGCCCCAAATTTTCCGGACGAAATTCCGCAGGCTTGCATCACCATGCCGAGCTCAAAGCTGAACTAAATGGAAGGCTGGGCTGGCTTTTCGAGCGCGTGTTTGAAACCTTGCAAAAGGCTGTTGCACCAGATGAAATCGACAGTGAGTGGATCACCTATCCCTACGTGAAAATGCACCGGGGCGACACTCTCGACGGCCTGCCGGATGCGATCAAAAGCATGGTCCTGAGCCCTGCGCCGCCTCATAAGGATGAGCAATTTCGACTCTCGAGTCCCCAGCCGTACTTTCCTTTCCTTATTTTTAAGGGGGGTCTCCTTTATAAAAGCCGAATTTAGTTGGGAACGAGGTTACCCGTACTATTAGGGGCTTTACTGGGAACCTAGGAATGCATCTGGAGCCGGCAGAGCATGCTTCTGCCCAGACGCTGACCTTCACCTTACCTCTGGAAGTTCCTGCTGGTGGTGCAAGCCTGCGGGTCTATGACTGCTACTACAACAAGTCCATCCAAAAGAGTGTGGATCCAAAGGGGAACGTGCTGCCGAGGCAAAGCAGCCAGTGGTGCATGAAGGAGATGCCTTTCCAAGATGCAACTCGTTCGAGTTGAGAGAGCATGCCCCAGTCCTTTAAAATCTGTAGCCTACGAGTAAAATGGGGTTCAAGTGGCGGTCATAGCTCATAGGAGACTCCGGCGCAAATTGAGAAGAACTGAGAAGACTGTGTGGACCACCATCAGGTGGAGTACATCCCTGGGCGCATGCTCTTGTTCTCTGGTGACCAGTTGCATGCAGTGGGGCCCTACAAGGACCCCACCTCCTCGGACCGGCGAATCGTCTCTCGTCATCCTCTGTACGGCTTTGGGACTTTCGACGGTTCAGTTCCTAGGTTTTGTCCGCTTTTTTTGGCGGGTGTGAGAGACTTGGGGGCTGGGCCTTGCTCGGCTATTTGCATGGACGGGTCGGGATTAAAATCTGTGCTGGTTTGAGCCGAGGTGCTACAGGGGCATGGAATCTTTCGCGAAGGCAAGTGGCGGCTATTCGGATAGCCGGTGCCTTTCTTCGATTTGCGAGCTGCGAAAAAGAGGTGCGGGACATCGGTGCTGCTGGCACCAGAATAACTGTGTGGTCAAGTGCAACGAGTGAATTGGAATGCTTTAGTTTCAGCTGTTGCCGAGCTCATTGTGGACTGTGCTAGCTGCCAGCAAGGTTTTGTAATGAGAATCGGCTCCTTGGACTGTTTCATACAATTGACGTTGGAGGGTTCCGGTGTCCCCTGCAAGCTCAAAAGCATAAGAGGTTTTGCTAGTTGCAAGAACAGTGGGGTGTCAACACAGATGATCGCTTCTGATCAAAGGCTGTGCAAACACTTCTAGGTTGCACTCTGGTTGCAATAAGTGGGAGACGAGTCTCTTCCGTGAAGCTCACCTCTCGACAAGGGTTGATTTGAGCTGCCCTGCCATCTCTCCCACGCAGCTGGCTTTAGCATGCCTCAAGTCGACTCATGCCTGCACCGGTAAACACTTGCCGACTAGGAGCACAGATAGCCGAAGCCCTGCACACAGCAGCGGCGATTTGCAGGCGCGCAGCGCGTGATCTTCTCCCGGCCCTTCGCAGGGTCCCAGGAGGCCGCCCGTGGTGTTCGCCACGACTGCCAAAGATCTTCCATGAGTGGAATCATGACGTTCAGTCGGTCTGATATGTGTGCTGGAATTGTGTAAGGCACTGGTTGTGTAAGGCACTGGTTTCCGGGCAGGTAGAGCCGGATCCGTCGAATGATGGCCCCCCGTCCGGCTGCACGTTTACAGCACATGCCTTATGCTTTGGACATGAGTGCACCAAACAGTCAGGAAGGCTGAGATCATGGCAGAAAATACCAGCCTTGCAGCTGCCTTGCTCCTCAGGGCAGGACCGACGTCTCGCAGGCAAAGCCTGGATCGCGGTAGCAAGTGCCCCAAGTCCTCACGGTTTTCCCAAGCTTCTGACAGCTCTTTGTGTTGTTGTCATGCCATGTATGCTAGCAGAGCGTGGAAGCTTCTGCTGTCGTCTATCGTGCTCCTGTCAATCCTTTGACATGCATGGCTTGACTGTTGACCAAGGTGATGCCGTGGTTTGTGTCACGCGTTTCACCAGTTGATCAATACTATACACTCAAGATACTCATTGAGGCAATTTGGCAATTCTCGGTCTGTGCAAGGAGCTCGAATAAGATCATTGCATATTCAAGCATCGGTTCACAATGCTTCTTTTTCTGTAGGGTTTGTGTTCGTACTTGTGTGCGTTTGCAGAGCAGTTGCGAGAACCAAAATCGTGCGAAGAGCAGCCCTGCGTCGGGATTTGCCTTTCCCACAGTTTCAGCAGCATTCAACGCAACTGGACGAAGCAAGAGCAGTTCGTCGGTTCGTGGGTGTCTTCACGATTCTCCTCAAGGGTGCAACGTCTCACCCAGAATATGTGACATGGGTCCACGAAGAATTGGGCCTGCCCCGAAATGTCCGGGTGGGAATCCAGAGACGACGTCCGGAGTCAAACGTGTAACCTGTATTAGACTCACGAGCTGCAACGCAGAGGACTACCCCCAGCATGTCCCCCAACCAAAGCCAGTTCCAGATCGCACCCACCGCTTGGTCTTCCAGTGTTAGCAAATTCAGGATTCCATCATGGAGCGGCTTGTAGAGGAGGCGCTTCGGTTGGCGAGATCCAGCCCAACCTCCTTGGCAATCTGCATAGAGGTTTACTGTTAATGCACCGCTCGATGAGCAGCGTTGCTGCTGTGACGAGAGCGCTCTGTTTCTGGCTTCTGGCCATCTTAGCGAGGGCTTCCGGGCCCCTCGACCTTTGGGTTCTCTGGACAGATCGTGATGGGGCAGACTTCTTTTTCACTTCCAGCACTTGCGCAACTGTTACTCTGCCCGATGTGAGCATTGCTGGGAACGAGCCGGCCCCGCCGCCAGCGAATGGCGGGATTAGTGACATGCTGTTCTTCGCGGACACGTTCGAGTTCGTTTTTCTGGAGGGTGGCAAACTGGTCCGGGCCTGGATGGACAAGACGGGCCGATCAGAACTCGGGTTTTTGCCGGGGGACGCTGCTGGGCCCGTGTGGAATGCAACGGGGACCGGGCCCAACCTCGGCGAGGAGGGAGCCCTGGCTTGGACCCAGGATGCTGGCATGGCCATGGTCTTCTTCGCCTCCTCCTTGACAAACAAACTCTGGTTCTCAAACCTGAGCTCCGTGCCGCCGCGAGACTCTTCCCACTTAGGCCCCTGGATGGAGGTGCTTAGCCAGGGTAGCCAGGGTAGCCAGGCCACAAGCGCCAGGCCTCAAGTGCCAGTGTTGTTGGCCAGGGACGGTATGGTACTCTGGAGCGACAACCTGGTGCTGAGAACTTGGAGGGCCGTGGATGCCTTGGAGACCGCGGCAGTCGGTGGCCAGTCCGGTTCGGCTGTGGCCCAGCTTGGTGTTGGTGCGGATGCATGGGGCGAGCTGTTGGTGGCAGAAGCAACGCACGATGGAGGCCTGCTTTGGATTCGACAGGTGGGCAGCAGCCCACCGCAACTTGAGTATGTGCTGCAGCTTGAATCTTTGATCGATGGGCCCAATGCAAACGCGGCCAGTGGAAATGTGGCTCGGCTGAGTGACAGTTCGCCTGCCGACAGGCACCAGCACCACCGCCACCACTTCTACATCTTGTTCTTTTTCTGTGCTGCTGCTGTTGCTGCTGCCGCCGCAGCCTTCTGACTATTGATTGCCTCTATTCACCAAGCGGTGTCGACGGTGATGATGATCATGATGATGATGATGACGACGATGGTGATGGTGATGGTGAAGAAGAAGATGATGACGATGATGATCGCTGTGACCAGCATAACGACAATGCTCTAAGTTGTGGCGATATGATATGAGCTGTCGTGCCCTGGAAGATAGCGATGACGATTGTGACAATGTCGATAATGATGACGATGGTGATGATGGTGTGGCTGTTGCTGGTGATGATAGTGATGACAACGATATGGTTAAGGTCTGATATGGTGGGGGGACCTCGTTAGGATCTTGATGATCATATCGGCTCTGGTTCTTCGTTTTTGTTGCGCTCAGGTGCGCTTGCTCCATGAATTCTCAGAGGGCGACGTGCCTTCTGCCATGGCGGTGCCTCCCAGCCCCGGGCCAGGGCTGCCGTACCTGGGAATCTTGGAATCAGCGGCTCTTTTTGGGCTTTTGGTTGACTTTCTGCGGGCTTCAGGGTTGAGTGGCCATGTCAGAGAATGTAGATCTTCAGGCTTCACGTGGTACCACTTGGCATCCCAGGAAATCTCACGGAGCTGTTCCAGCAGGTATACTTTTCCATCCTAGGGCCGGCAATGCAAGCTCGTCTCGTAACTTGGCGTGATGCCTTGATGCTGAATCACAAGTCTTCACAAAGCTTCAGCCTAAGCTGCGAGCTGTATGGCATCTAAGGACCACTTGGATCTTGGCACCGGTGTGGCCGCTCGACATCCAGCTTTACTGACGGGGAATGCATTTCGGAGTTCTCGTTCACTCTGACTTTTCCGTCTGTGCGTGATGGTGTCGTCGCAGACGGGACTTGCCGTCTTTCGTCAGCTGCGCAGGTCAGGACGGTTGCCTTCGCCGGAGGGATCGAGCGGCGTGGAGCTGACCCAGCCCGTCCTGGGGCACTGAGCATCTCGACATCTAAAGCCTGAGCTTGCCGATGAGGAGCAGCTGCTCCCCTAGGACTAGGAAGCAGGTTGGATTTGTAATGTGGTATCTGCTATCGTTTGTGTTTGCAAACCTCAGCACCCTGCATGAATCCACCTTGCTCATACTTCAGAGTCTTTTCTCCGGGATCTCTCTATTTGGGGCTCGGATGTGGAGATGTCCCTACACACTTTCAAGTGTTGCCCGGCATGAGGTATCTATCCCATGCCGGAAGTCTGCGTCAATGCTTCTTGTCCTTAAGGGGTCCTTTCGCCGTTGCATGCATCTCACAGTCTGATAGTCTACTGAGGCTGTATTCACCAGAGGACTGTGGGGTCAGTAAACCGGCGTGCGAGCAAGGTCGGCTGCCTCTACCTCGAGAGTGCTTTCAGCCACTGCGAGAAGTGCACCTCGACAGTTTGCGACACCTGCTTCCTGGACACACAGGACCCGGGGCAGCATGCCTGCATCACAATGAATGAAAAGATTGATCTCAAGACATGGCCTTGCAAGGACTGGCTGATCAAAGAGTGGTATCCTCAGCACACGATTTGGACGAGCTGCGTCTGGCTCTGGCCCATCGATCAGGCCTTGGCCTTGGATGAAAGACCGGCAGCCCAGCAGATGTTTGAACGCGTACAGAAGCTGTCCAGCCGAGGCCGCCTGGGTGGTCCGGACGCAGGTGCAGCAGGCGAAGGCCGATCAAAGAGAACTGACACGGAGAGGTGGGGGCCCCATGTCTGCAGCTTTGGTCTCGCAGGAAGATGGGCTTTTACCGGATGACCTCATCGTCAAGGATCTCCCAGCAGGGTGTCCATCATGCAGACGTTGACCCCATGTGAAGGGCGCCATGCCAAACAAGAAAGTTTTGAGCAGAGCCCTGGATGCATGTCGCAGTCCCTGACTCTTCCGATCCAGCCAGGGCCAACTCAGTCCTGGGCACAGTATGAATGCTATATCGCAAATGCCGCATGTTTGTTGACCATCGGTGGCAGTTCTGTGGAGCGGAATATGAGAGAGAGTGCTAATGAGCTAATGCCGCTCCTGGGCCTTGCAGGAGTTGCCACCAACACCAGGTGAATCAACGCCGCCAGGGACCACAGCGCGGCCACTAACCACCACCGCTCCGCGGCTACACGGTGATTCCTGTCGGTCGGTATCCGATTTGATCATGCTTCATCTCTTCTGGCAGTGGCCGGCATGCCCCAGGCTCGCTCGACGACTACAGCGACAAGTCTAACGGCGACCACACACACGATGACAACAACCAGCAGTTCAGCGACGGGCACTACGACCAATCCGTGTGCAGCAGTTCCTCCCCTTGTAGGACTTCGACACATGGAGAATTCCGCGAGTTTTTGCAGTGGTCCAGGGGAGTTCTCCCCGTGCTTGTGAGCCAGCCTTCAAGTTTTCTTCCAGGAGACGCTCTAGATACTTGCCGAGCTCAAATTGCTTCGTGGTGCCAGGCGAGCAAAACAACCGACAAGAAAGAAGGGTTGTGGCGCAGGGGTCCCCGTAGTAAGCATCTTACCCTGACTATGCAAAGATTGGTGCAGGCGGAGCCAGGAGTTCCAGACATGCGGGGCTCTGAGATGGTGGAGCTGCAGCTCTGCACGGTTTCTGCGATGTCGCACCAACCTCCTCTGCGAGCCCCCGAATCCCACCGGGTAGCTATAGTGTTTTTTGAAGCGTCGTCGAAGTGGTGCACTTCGTCCTCTCAGGACCTTGGCTCCGCCGGATCTCCGAGCTCAGTGTGCAGGCTTCGCCTGGTCCGCAGAGGCCAGGAGAGATCGGAGATCGCCCCGGCGCAGCTTCAGACTTCAGACGCACTGGCTCTTGGACTCTCTACCCGTCGCGCCTCACCACTGGAAATCCTTCGTCCCCCTTGCAGAGGCGCTGTGTTCCGAGCCTGCTGCTGTGGGAGACGGGGATGGGACACTGATCGGAGATGGTGCGGCATTCGATGGTAGGGCCCCCAAGAGGTGTCTTCAGTGCATAGCAGTGCCCGCCTCTGGCACGGACACGCAACACTCAACAGATTCAGTGCAGGCTCTGCTTTCCTCAATGGTTTTGCCAGTCTCTAGCTCTGAGTCGCCGAGGCTGCACGGCCTGCACGGAACTCTGGGGCCTCGCTCTCCTGGCAGGCGAGGGGCCGGAGTCAGCGACTTGCTTCATGCAATGGTCTAGTTTAGAACAGTTGCTCGAACAGCTCTTGTTGCAGGCTTGGGCTTGCTCCTCACGGTCATGGTCTGCATCACTTGGTGCCTGACCACCTCCAGGCAAGGGTTTGGACGTTGCTTTTGGTGTAAGCATGCGCAACAGCAGGGCAAGCAGCGTTCTGCAGTCCATGTTTTTTGGCATCCAGGCGATTACAGGCCCAGCGTGCGGACCAAGATCTGCGAGCCGCCGCGCAAGTGCGACGCGCTGGCTCCGCCGATGAAGGCCTGCCTAAAGCTCCTTGCGTGTTCCTGGAAAAGAGGCTACGCAGAGGTGCTACGGTAAATGGGTCCTTGAGGTCGTCTGATCGGCTGCACACCGGCCTTGCAAATTGCCAGGCCTCAACGCGGACATGGGCATCTCAGCGCCGGATTCGACAGCCCCCGACTGGCCGGCTTCTAGACAGCCGAGCTGGAAGTCCTGCTCAAGGCCAGGATGAAAAAGCTGACGCTTTCACGCCACGCAGTTTTTGGGGCTCAGTGAGCTGGATCTCAGGCGCCTGCGCTGCCCTTGCTGCAGAAGCCATGCATCGAAAGCCACCTCGCAGGCCTGTTCGCACTTCCAATGCAGGAGGTACATGCGGGTGACACGGGAGCACAGCAGATCCGGGTCAAGAGCTCTCGGGCAGGTGAAGCCCTCGCCACCCCGGCCCAGCAGCCGGGAGTTCGAGGAAGAGGCGTGGCGCATCGCGCATAGGGTCCGGCAAGGCTTTGTGCGCATGGGACCGGGGTGATCTGCAAGCCGTGTGGAGTGCATCACTTTGGAGACTAGATCGGTTTCAGGTACATCTGCACATGATCTGGTCATCGCGGTCCCACTTGTCTTGGAATGTTGTCCAAAGGTCCTCAGAATATCTCGGAATGCTGATTGCCCAACAAGGGGGTGCTCCTTTGCGTCTCTTCTCATCCTGCTCTCTCTTCAGGACAGGCCTGAGAGTGCAATGAGCAGCACTGGAGCAGTCCCCGGCGGCCGTCTTACCGTTTGTGGATTCTGGGAGAAAGTGGACTAGAGTGCTGGGACACAGCCTCGCCTTCGCTTGTCTTCTTTCGCCTGCTTAAGGTGCCGACAACATTCAGGCAATGCGGGCCACACACAAGCATGTGAGAAGCATCCCGCCACCGCAGCATGCCGAGGCCAGCGTTCCTGTGGAGCAGATCTTGAAGGGGACCTGGCAGCCCGACGCTTGGAGACTGCAGGCGGCAGCTGCGGCAGCTGCAGCATTTCCAACGATCGAGGCCCGAGCTCAGCTCTGCGGGTGCCGCAGCAGCAGCTGGGCGATTGAGTGAAGCCATGCGGCGCCCTTAGCACCTGGAAGTGGCTTTCGCCTTCCCTCACGGAGTGGAGCCCACCGCCCACACTCGGGGATTGGCTGAGGCGGAAGTTCATGAGCCCCGACTCCGACGAGGCGAAGCCGCGGAGCCTCGTTTGTTCGCCTTCTCCGTTTAAAGAGAATCGCTTTCAAAAGAGGCGAAGCGCTGGCGATTCCTAGACGATGTCGAGGACATCCTCCGGACCTTGGGTAGCGTGCCTTGCCGACGACATAGAGCGGTGCTTGTCCTTCCATAAGAGCGAGCATGCCGCTCCTTCGCTGGGGAGGCTCTGCCCGCCGGGGTTCGCAATGCCGCTTGGGCTTGGCAAGGGCCTCAGCTGTGTGGCCGTACGTCAATTTGTATGGCATGCGATGATGTTTTACATCGCCTGCCTCTTTGTGAGGAGTTCTGCCTAGTTTAGACTTCCGCATGGCGCCAAAGGCACAGCCGACAGAGTGCCCGACTCCACCGCAGTCACGCGTTGACAGCAGCGTTGGACGAGGACCATGCTTCGACAATCGGGTCTGCAGCGAAATGTGATTCAGCATCTTGCGGAAGCATGCCGAAGCTCGGTTTCGTTTCATGAGGTAGACAAGGAATGAGAAGGACACCATTACGAGCCTCGCTCGTGCTGTCGGCCTGCGCTCTGCGAAGCTTGCAGGCGCGTTCGATGGCCGATGATTTTCGCGAGGCCCACCGCATCTTCATGAGGTTGTTTGCGGCCACTCACTTGCATTTTCCGCGGGTCATTACATGAGCTGCAGTGACAGTGAATACTAGGGAGAATGGCCGATAGAGTTATCTGCCCTATCAGGCTCGTCATTCGCGGAACCATCTTCGGGTTCATCCCCGAAGCCCTCTAAACTGCCCTAGCCCTAAACTCTAAAAACCCTTCGCTTGTCAGGGTTTCCTCCGTCTTTTGAGAGTGCTCCTGGCTCAAATTCCTCCTAAACCCTGAACCCTAAACCCCCTCAAACAAAAACAAACAACCCTAAACCCCTAAGGCCCTAAATCGTCTTCGTTCCTTCCAGGATCTTTCGGAGCGCCTGGCCTCCGGGGTGCGACGCCTCGAAGCCTCGGCACTGCTGGAGGCGGTCGGAGGCGGCTCCCGGACTGGTGAAGAGAGCTTTCACCGTACCGAATACTTTGCATGCTAGGCCCTGCTAGGCCTACCCTGGATATTCTATACAGACCATGTATACTGGGCTGGTGGAGAGATCTTGTGAAATTTGTTGTTGCTTGCATGGTGGTGGCCAGGAGCCGGCAAAGAAGGTCAGGGTGATGAACGTGCACCTCTTTCGGTCGCAGAAAGGGAGAGCTGGGTGCCCTGGCAATTCCCGTGAGGGAGGCCCCGACATTCCGCCTCTGGCAGACCGCTTAGCAAGCCGTGGCCCAGGTCTGGCAAAGGCATCCAAAGTCGAAGATGCCCTGGAGCAGTTGAAAACCAGGCCGCCTTGCACGCACTCTTCCACTTGGTGGCAAAGGGCTACAGATCTTGCAGGATGGAGAGCTTGAGCGGGAGTTCCACCGGCGTGAAGGGTGATCTGCCGCAAGCTTAGGCTTTCAGGCAAGATGAGGCAATGCATCATGCCAATCCGCGACAGTCATGCTGCGAGCCTTCAGACTCAGGCTGCATGCCGGACACCTGCTGGACTGCCAGCAAGCGCTTCAGCGGCTGCTCGAGGAGCAGGAGCGAGGGACCAGCACATGCAGCTTTGGCATCACGACTTGCGCCTCATCTGACTCGTGATGTCTAGTACATTCAGGGGCTCTAGTTTTACAGCTCACTCCCCATAGAACTGGGCAGGAGTCGGCCGAGAGGCTTCTACGCGAGCAGGAGCCCGGCCTGGATAAATGTTAAGATGAGGGCTTCAAAGGGGGCTTGGCTTTGGAAGTTGAGAGACTGGTAGCCTTTTTGGTGCAGTGTGAAGGCACGCTTGTTTTGGGGCAGGCTGGCGACGGCGACGCGCTGCTGCCAGGCATTGCAGCACTAGGTTCCAGTGAAGCAATGTGTCTGTGGTTCTCACAGGACAGGGCACATCCGAACATCCCAACTGCAGCTAAATGCAGGTTGCACGTAGCCGCTGAAAAACCGGGCATTGTCGTCCGAGTCAGGTGGCGCTGCTGAGCAGATGTGGCAACAACTTGGTCAGGACAACGGGGCCACAACTGGCTTTGCAGCACGCGATGTGCCTCTTTTTGTTACACCCCTGCTAGCTCGGTCTCATGCTGCCGCCAGTCTCAAGCTGTTAGGACATCCGAGCGTTGCAAGAGGCCCGTCTGCTGCATGTTGCACGCTTGCCGGTGCAGACAATTGTGCTAGAAGACGTACGCCGGTAGAGACGAGAGGCTTTGGCAACAAAGCTCGACGGAAGCGGCATCTCAGCAGGAGGCATCGCTCTGCCTCTCAATTCTCTGCATGGACTCTGTATGTTTTTTTGCTTAGAGCGAATTCCAGCAAGTTTTGTGGCCAGGTGCGTCTTCGCGTTCAGCTGCTTCAAACCCGAAGTGCCTCGGCTTTCAGCTGTCCTTGATGGGGAGCAGATGGTCCGCATGTTCAACTTACACCTCGAAGAACTAACGCTACATCAAGGTTTGACCGTAAGTGCCTCACATGTCTGCGTTGAGTCCTACCGACACCGACCTTTGCAAGTTCGGGCACTTGCGTTGAAGTTCCGACCAAGGTTAGATCCATCCAGCCGCCGTGATGGCAGAGATCCGAAGGCCCATCCGCCTTACAGTCCGCTCAAGCCTGGCTTTTATCGCATTGACAACGTTCACTTTTCCTGAACTCGGCCGGTGCGGCTAAGACGGGAGTGTGCGCTTGTCCAGGCCGCCTCGAAATCGTGGCTCCAAGGTTTGAAGCAGGCCAGCTCTTATCGATTGGGTGTATCCCAAGGCAGACCGTGAAGTCAACCACCAGTCAAAGCTGATGTGCATTTTCGGATCAACCGGAAACATCTTTCTAAAGGGCGACAGTACCATCCAACAGCCACCCTACAGAAAGCAATTTCTGCAAGGCAGCGGCTCGAGCAGCGGGGTTTGCGGCTGCTCTGCGCACGGCACGCATGCAGAAGGCATGGGGGCGGTTACTGTAGTGCCTAGAAACCCTGACTGAAGAACAGGAATCTTGGCTTTTGAGGCCTTTTCACTGCCCTGAGGACAAGAAGCAACTCGACGAGATGCAATCCCTGCTTCAGAAGGAGTTGCAGTCCTTCGCTGAGGCCGAGCCTTTGAAGCGGGAGAGTGCAGCCAAAAGATGTTGAAGGGTGTGACCTTCGGGCAAACTGCAGTATTGCATGACTGCCCGCGTGTTCTTGCCCAGCACAGGCTGAGAGGGTGGCGCGCGAGGGAGGAGCGTTTGCAATCTCAGCATTATGCAAAGAAAGCGCTACAGACGGTCATGGCTAGCATCGCGACCATATCCAGAAGTTCGTTCGTCCATCTTGAAAATGTGCTGTTTCCATCGCTGCTTTGCTCGTACAGCTGTTCAAGACAGGACGTTGGACCGGTCAGCAGTCAGATGCATGGAGGCACAACATCTGGTCTTTGTGAACTGTGTTCTCCACACTTTCGATCCATCCTGAACCATTCCTGCCTTGGCCCAGGCAGCTCGATGGTGTCTGGTCGGAGCTCAAGGAGGAATTGAAGGCGCTGCCGAAGAACGCTAGGCTGCACAGCGGCGGTGCTTTTCTCCTGTCATTCCGATCCGAACTAGCTGCGCACAAGGACTTTTCATTCCAAGCCGGCAAGTAGATTTACAGCCAAGACAGGCCTGTGATAACATGGCTGCTGCGGACGACCAAGAGAAGGAGTGGGTCAATCTGTCGGCCTCTTGTCGTTGACGTTGACGCTATCGGCTTCAGCTGCAACGAGATGCGTGGCGCAGAGCAGCTGGTGGAGTGCAGGACTCATCAAGCCCGAAGTTGACACGTGGCAACAGCAAGCTGTTAAGCCACGGTCTCATTATGAGTGTGTGAGAAAGAATCAAGAATCACATCTCACTCTGGGAGCCTGGTCGATCTACACGCTTGCTCATTGACTGGGGTGCGTGTGGATGGAACCATCCATGTTCCTGCGATTTCCGAGATTATGCCGCGACTCGAAGGGCGAACTTGCCTATAGCCCAGAGGGTGTTCAATGAGATGCGGGGTGGGGTTTGCTCAGTTCGTCCTCTGGCAGCTGCATGAACGCGGTGTAGGACCGCAGAACCGCTGACTGTGACAGACACAGCCTTGGCAGCTCAGGATGCTGCCGCCTAAGCGCAGCGACACCCGATCGCTCGATGCAGAGGCAGGGAGCGAGCTAAGCGGTCCTGCAAAGCAAATAGCCAGTGCAGAGACGGTTAGTGACGAGATTTGAAATGTGACGAACATCCGTTGAATGCACGTCTGCATTGCTTTCCGGTGACTGTTGCTCTATTCATGATTCTACAGCATACGAGCACTTTTCACAGCACTTTTTGTGCTAGGTAAAGCCGCGATCCTCAACCAGCCCCCTCAAAATTCAATGCCGACACTGGAGCCAAACCCTCATCCCCCTCCATCACCATTCATCCCAGGACCTAAGACCCTAAACCCTATAAACTGTAAACCCCTAAACCCTAAACCCTTAGACCCTTAAGCCTTTAAACCCTAAACCCTCAGACATCCTTCTAATACCTCAGACTCAAAAAAGAGCCCGACTGGGCCTGGAAGGAGCTGGCGGCTGCCGGCCCAGCGGCCCAGGCATCCTCCTCGCAGCTGAACACGCTGCGTGCAGAGCTGGTGCTTGGCACTCGGAGATAGGGCCTTGTGAAATAGATTTCAGTTTCAGGAGGTGAGGTGTCTGCAAGAAAAGCTGGGAGATCAGCCACTGCAAGCATGAGAGTCTTGCTGAGTATGTAGATCCCGGCTCTAAAGCTGAGGAAGCTTCGCGACAAAGTGCAGCAGCTGCCCAACGGAACTGGACACGGCAAGGCCTCGATTCACGAAGCCTCTGGCCGCGCTGGATGTTGACGCACTCCTAGTCTGTTTGACAGTCAGTCCACGCCTCGGGCTGCCTCCATCGAAGCTCGTGGTACGGCAGAAGTGTTGTTGCTCACTGCATTTGCGTCTGAGTGTACCTCTGCTTGCAGCAACACCAAGCTGCAAGATCCAACCCAGAAAGCCCGTCTGGACGAAGCCCGAAGAGTTCGTTTTGTGTGTTGATGATGTGTTTCGTGTTTTGTGCGCAGGATCCAGAATCCCCGGAGGAGCGGCTCCTGATGGCCGGTTTGATGGAGTTGCATCGGCAGGAGCCACCCTGAAGTCTGCAAAGCGTAGTGGTGAGAACACAGAGGAGTCGAAAAGGTGTCCTACTGCACTGTGACTGCTTGCTGCCGCGTGATCGTGTTGCTGTCTTCTTCTGTGGCATGTTGTCCTTGACCGGCCCGTTGGTCGTAGTTTGACTGTGCTGTCACTGAGAAAACTTAAAACTCCTGTTCAGCATCTGCGCCGTCCCTAGGCCCTTTCTTACCCTTCAAATATCCTGAAAGATGCATTCTAGGGCGACCAGTTGCGCGATTGCAATAAGCATTGGTCGTGCAGGACCTTCAAAGACTCATCGAAGCCGCGGAGGCGACCCTCAGTTGTGTCGTCATTTTCGTCATTCGCCGATTGGTTTGCGCTGGCTCAATAGCAGTATGAATGCAACCTGTGCACCGGAACCGTACTGCATCAGGTGCCGAGCGCACGGATTCTGACATCGTTTGGCGGTGCTGTAGTGCAAGTAATGTTAACGCTACGCAGCCCGCCTCGGCTGGCTTGCTGTATGCGTTCGGCTGTCCACGATGCTGCTCAGTTACGCTGATTGCCAGCAGTAGGATGAGTCAGGGCGGAGGGGGGAGGGAGGGCAGGGGAAGAGGGAGGAAGGTGGAGGGGACTTAGTTAAACCCCCAAGACGCCGGAGGCCTGTGGCCTCGGCGGATGTGTCCCGCGCGTCATGCAGCTAAAAAGCATCTCTGAAGGCTTACAATTAGCAGGAACTCAGGTGGAATGCAGATGCAGCGTCCGTGCATTGTGCCTCAGGCGGAGCAGAAAGGCCTCGCCAACCTGGCTGATTCGGCAGGTGGCGGAGATGGCGCCCGGGAGCCTGGACGGACAGAAGCTGCAAAAGCTGGGGAGTTGATTTGAAAACTTGGCCCCTGATCCGCGCGCCCAGATACAGCAGACTCTGGGCAACCTCTGGCAGCAGCTGAAAGGTGAGCTGGAGGTCCGGCTGCATGCTCAAGTTCGCCTTGGGTCGTAGGATGCCGAGATTGAAATCGTTCCCGACATCTGATGCTAGGATCTTCAAAACCAGCTGGATCCGATGCACCAACCTCGGCCTGCTCGAATGTGATGATCATCCAGCACCGCATTGAACCTGGGTTCTATATCGCATGTTGCTGCAATCCCCTTGCCGTGTAGCATGGGAATCGTGGTGCAAAGCATGGTAGAATCTTCCATAGCAGTGCGGCTCCAACCAAGATTCTGGGTCCCGAACCACAGTCTTGGAGTTCAATGTCGTCTCCGGGGACGGCCCTGGAAGGCAGCGAGGACAGGCAGCTCCTGGCAGAAGCCACCGCAGCTTTGCAGGAGCACCTAGATTTTGAGGAGAAGCACGTGCAACAGAAGCGCCAACAGTTGGAGGAGGAGTTGGACGAAAAGATTCCTGCAAAGTTTGCAAAGGGTGAGAAGGAAAGGGATTGCAGAAATCCATCTCCATCAGATACCATCAAGCTCAACGTCGGTGGAGACACCAGCTTTACGACAAGGCGAGACACGCTCACAGCCATTCCGGGCTCGCGCTTGGCTCTGCTGTTTTCTGGTCGCTGGGATAGGTCCCTGCGAAGGGACGAGAATGGCCGTGTGTTTGTGGATGTAGATCCTGTCCAGTTCAGGGCTTTGCTCGCGTGGTTGGTGGACCTGAAGCGAATTGAGCCAGACGCGCCTTCGCCATCCCCCCCTGTTGACTCCCTTCCACGGCACTGTCGCGCCGGCTTCCTATCTTTGTGCAGCTATCTATGCTGCCGGGATGTCTGCATCACGCAGAAGCACATCTCAGAGGTTAAAAGTGATGAGTCACTTCGAAGCGTTTCCAGGTCGCCCAACGAACTCAGAGAGAGCACATTGGTTTCCTGCGATCACGCCAAGCAATTAAATGCTTGGCTGAAGGAAGCAAGCCGTGTCGCCGTGGAGCCTTCTCTCAAGCTCCTGTTTCATGCGTCGCGGGATGGCTTCAGCATGCAGGGCTGCCACCAGAAGTGCGACGGCCACGGCCCCACAGTGGTGGTGGCCCGAAGTGCTGGAGGCCACCTCTTTGGAGGCTACGCGGAAACGGCCTGGGACTGCTCCAACACGTACAAAGCCTGCCAAGAATCCTTCCTCTTCCGCTTGGCAGGCCCAGGAAGAATCCAGCCGTCCAAGCACCGCATCTTCCAAAGCCACCAGCATGGCATCCATTGTCATGCGGATGGTTTACGGTTTGGGGGTGGCCATGACATGCAGATCTATGCAGAAGGTGCCGCCGGCAAAGTGCAGTTCAACATCGGCCACACGTACAACAAGACCAGCCCCCAGGGCACCTTCACACACCTGGCCGAAAGCCAGCAGGCGGTAGTCACCGACTTCGAAGTCTTCCAAGTCTGCGAGCACGTGGATTTGCGAGCAGCCGCACAAAGCCTCCGATCCCATGCAGAGCTTTTGAAGTCACAGCTGGAGCAGTCAGAACAGGACTTGCTTGAGAAAGCCTTGACGGTGTGCACTGCAGCACTGAACCAGGGCAGCGGCTTATTGGCTGCCAGAGACAGCTTAAGCTCTTGGTGTGATGCCCTTGATGAGGAAGCTCAATTCTTGTCTCAGTTCATGGGCACATCTGCTGAAATAGTTCGCCTCAATGTCGGTGGGCAGCTCCTAGAGACACTGCATTCAACCGTCACATTCGTCAGCGACTCCACGCTAGCAAGCAAGTTTGCCGAGAACTGGACACTGCAAGACGAGGAAGTCGTGGAGGGTGGTATCTTCTGCGACGAAGACCCCGACTTGTTTCAGGTTGTTCTCCTGCACCTGCGACTGGGTAGACTCTTGGGCAACACCTTTTCTCCAAAGCGCGCCGGGCAAACGAGGCCCATGGCAGCGACTGCTGAAGTACTTGAACCTGCAGGCTGCGATCAAAGAGTGCTGGGATTCCGAGCTGCTGAGTGATGAGGGTGACCAGCTGCTGTCCATGCTCCAAGAAGCGGGGCCAAGCCCTGACCGTCAAGTCACTCTCAAGCTCCTGTTTCGCGCGTCGCGGGATGGCTTCAACATGCAGGGCTGCCACCAGAAGTGTGACGCCCAAGGCCCCACGGTGGTGGTGGCCCGAAGTGCTGGAGGCCACCTCTTTGGAGGCTACACGGAAACGGCCTGGGACAGCTCCAACACCTACAAAGCCTGCCAAGAATCCTTCCTCTTCCGCTTGGCAGGCCCAGGAAACATTCAGCCGTCGAAGCACCGCATCTTCCAGAACCACCAGAATGGCATCCATTGCAATGCGACTCATTTACGGTTTGGAGGTGGCGCGGACATGCAGATCTATGCAGAAGGTGCGGCCGGCAAAGTGCATTTCAACAACCTCGGCCACACGTACAACCCGACCAGCTCCCAGGGCACCTTCACGTACCTGGCCGAAGGCCAGCAGGCGGTAGTCACCGACTTCGAGGTTTTCGCGGTCGTGAGGGAGTGACGGGTGCCGTAAGTTCTGTTCTGTGGTTGCAAAGCACAGTTTCGCCAACTTTTCACCGGTCGTGTTGCAGCAGTGATATCAACGCAGCCGCGGCATTCAGCGTCGGAGGAACAGACACCACGGCCGGCGTCAGCAAAAATAGAGTCGAGCACCTCAAACTCTTGATGTCTGAATATGTCCATCGTTTTCACTTGTTCATGTGTTTCCAAGGACTGTGCAATCCAGCCCCAACTCCGCGACAGGCAGTTGGAGATTGCATTCGCGTTTTGGCGAAGCTTGACAGGAGTTTCTCACACCGCAATGCTGCCAAGATTCAACTCCGGTCCTGTGCAGGCGGTCTTTCAGCGGGAATCGGTTCCAGCTTGCTGACACCAAGCAAATCAGGAAAGCTCGTGCCTGCCTCGGTGCCTGCGGAGTCTGAACCGTCGCCGGGGATGCGAGACTGTGACTAAGACTGTCAGCTCACCGAGGCCCGGCTCCCGTCCAAGCTGAAGCAGCCCGATTGCAGAAGCGATTGTGTGTGTGTGTGTAATCTGGACCTGGCCGGGGTCCGTCTTCACACGGTTCAGACTGTTGAGTCTAGCAGAGTCTCGCCGTCTAAGGCGGCCCACACTTCCCAGGGCAGTGACCGAAGCTGCAAGCAAGTATCTGCTTCGGCCCCGGAGTCGGCAAAACTGCCCGATCAAAGCTACTTGCAGCGTAGGATCGCCTAGGACTCTCAGCCAGTAGTCTGGCTTTATTTGCAGGGCACCATGCTCCCCTGGCCCCACACAGCATGTACGGCGAGCTGGCTGCATGAGGCGCGCATCGGAGGCGCTCGCGAAGCTCAGGCAACTGGCATGGCATGCTAGTCCAGGTCAGCACACGACAACCCCGAAACCTAATGTGAACAAAGCTTTGCAAGTCAGACAGTCATTTTGGGCAACCTAGACCGATGCCTCCTTGTCCTTTGGCGTCGCTGTCTCGTCTCGAGTTCTCGTCTTGCTTCTCCGTTTCAGCCACTGTATGCCACTCTCCTTCAGTCTCTGACTCTCCATCTGGATATCCGTGCCTCCTCGTCTCTCCATCGATCTCTGCGGCAAGCTGATGAAGTCACAAGAAGTTGCACTTGCCAGGTGGCAGCGGTCGCAGCTTGCGGACAGCCATCCACTGCCAGCAGCTTATTTACGGCAAGTTTCTGCTGTTCACCTGTGGCCCGTGTGCTGTTGCTGTCAGGCTTCGCCTGGGTCAGGCGGCTGCTGAGGAGGAGGCATGCTGGGTCTCGGATTTCCGGGGTTTGGGCGAAGCTCAGCTTCGTTGCCGGCGCGAGGCCCTGGCAGGGCTTGAAGGCGACGCCCTGCGCGCACTGGAGACGAACGAAGGCCGCACGGAGCAGCTTGCAGGAGCTTCGAGTGATACTTGCAGCTCTCCGCATGCAGGTTGGGAGGGCAACGACCAGGTGGGCAGCCACGTGCCGCGGGACTTTGTATGGATGCACCTTGAGGCTTTGCACAGGTTCAATCTGTCTCACAACTTGCCACCTGTATCGCGCTTTTGGCCGCAGCTTTCCGGCCCCCTCAAAGCGACTCTGCCGCCGACGACTTCCGGTGATTCCGGTCGGCACTGCGGGCCTCGCCATGGCAAAGGCAACACTTCCGGTTCCAGACATCGCGGCCGAGGCGGCGCGGGACGGGAGCGGGAGGGAAGTTTCAAGCCTCAGGCCTTTGGGTTTTGAGAGACGTGGTCTGCTTCTGTCAGGATGGAGACCAACTCCCGACGCTGCTTACGCCCCGAGACTTGCCTGCAGACTCCACGTGGGCTTTTCTGGCGACATCCATCCCAACTCTCATGGGGCTGAAGGTAAGCGCCAGCTCTTGCTGGACGCCAAGATGGCAGCAGCGAAGACCGAGACCACCTCGCACTCCAAGCCGAAGCTCCAGGCACCGTACCGTCCTAAACCCCCCCAAAGCCCCAAAGCCCCGAAGCCCCGAAGCCCAAGTGCCAACAGGAGCGGCGCCCGGGCTTCCGGTCCGAGCCGCTGACCCTCCAGCCCGGCTTGAAGTTCTATTCTCCGCCGGTAAGGGGCCCCAGAGAAAGGGAGGCTTATTAGAGACATTCAGAGGGCAGAGGGTTATAGGGATTTTAGGGGCTTCAGGCAATTTTGAGCTCTTGGACCACCTTCAGATTTCTTGTGAGGTGGAGGAGATCCCGGACGTTCCTGATCCGGAAAGCCGACGGCACCGGCTGGCGAAGGGTGGCAAGGCCAGCCCTGCAGCCTTTCCCCAAAAAGAACTCTAAACCCCTAAACCCCTAAACCCTAAAACCCTAAGGCCCTAAACCCTAAACCCTAAAATGTCCCGATCCCCAGCTGCAGGATGTTTGGCCTTCGGAGTCGACGATCACCTCCAGCACGCAGTCAGGAAACCGAGACAGCTGAGACCGTCCCTGCGTAGGAGCCGGAGACTGTAGTCTTCGAACGTTTGTCCTGCTGTGATGTGGTGGCACAAGCCGGGAGGGCCCTTGTCTCTTCTCCCGTCGAAGGGGGTTCATCCGTGAGATAGGATTAAGGAATGCCAAGGATATCTTTTCTTTCGAAACATAGCAACAGCAGCAGCGACTCCCAGCAAAGGTTGCGTCAACATCCGTGACCTTCTGCTTAAGCTGAGAAGCTTAAAAAAGACAACCGAATGGCTGCAAATACGTGCCGAAATTCATGTGGCTACGGCCACCTTTTCTGCAACAGACTCACAAGCAGTGCTGCCCTCCAGAATCTGCGTCAACTGCAGCGCTCTCAGCATCTTTTACAACCTTTTGGAAGGCAGATGGACTGATAACATCTTTACCAAGACATCGCAGCAACAGCAGTGACGCGCGAGTGATGATGGAGGGTGAGAAGGCCGCATGTATGCCGCATTTACCTTGCGAGACTGCCTCGGATGCCTCTTGAACTTCAGAAAAACAAATGCAGCATCAGTACATTCAGAGTACACTTAGCCTGCTAGACAGGAGGCCTAATTTAAAGCATTTTGCATAGCCGCCTACAGTGGCGTCCAAGGGCTAAGGCTCGCATGGGAGCTTTGACTTTCACTGGTCCTGGGCCCGAGCTTGGGACGGAGATTCATTGACTTCGCTGTTTCTCGTTGGGGCAATGGCATCCTACTCCGCCCCAGAGGCCGCAACTGGCATTTCGTCTTTGCGCAAAAATGCTGCATTTCAGGAGAGCAGGGTGGGATTCGTGCAGCAATCGCTCACCCTCTCTACGGTCCAAAGCCTTGGGACAAGTCGATCACCCTGCCCTCCAAATCATAATTGCCACACGCCTGGTCACCTGCCCGGCGCACTGCCAATGCGCAGCTTGTTTTGTCTCATGCTTTGTCCTCCTTAATGATGGTCAGGATAGGTATTGCGAGATATCATCTGCTGTTCACTGACCTACCTACCGCGAATCGTGAAGACCAGCATTCCGGCTTAGTGTGCATTGCAATGGTAGCTGTACAAAGGACAACACCTCTATCACACCACTGTTGTGTCCGCATGCTGCAACGAGCACAGAGTCCAGCAGTTTCTCTGGATAAATTACGTCATGAGGACTCGCACAAAGGCGTCTACATCGTGTGCTACACACAATGCATTCATCAAAAGGTGCGAGGACTGAGGCATGCCCGCTGCACTTATACCTGCGCTATCCTACGCTGTAGCCTGCATGTCCAGTTGGTTGCCACAGCCTCGCGCGTTCGACAATGCGTTTGCTAGCATAGTCAGCACTGACTTTGGGACTTTCAACTTCCCACGGGCCCTCCTCAGTCGCACAGACCGGATGGTGCAGCTGTGCCCATTTAGGGCTTGGACAGACAGCTGCTTGAAATCTCATGCTCAGTCATGTCTAGAATGCCTTGACTTCGCAGTTTCGTCTCGTCCTGACCATCAGGATTGCTTGGTGTGATGTTGCCAGGCTTCGAGTATATCCTTATAAACACTTTGAAGCTGTGCATGCTGCCAGATTCCAGGAGGACGCGGCAAAACTACTCCATATTGGCATTTGGATCGATTCAGCTTCGCAGTTTATGAAGTGACCTCATGTGCCAAATGCCTTAGCGGTACCAGGCCGGTGTGGACCAGTGCGGGTGCCTAGAAAGGTTCTAAAGACGAGCATCACACTCTCTGAACCTTACGAAGGTCGGACGACGGTGTTTCAGGGTTGAGTTTGGTACATCCGTTGATCAGTTGGTGTCCGATGGGCATGGGCACTCAGATTCCACACGCAGCGGCAAGACAATCGGCAGCTGTGCATTGTGCATACTCTTTCGCTCTCAAGATTAGACAGGTGCCTCGCCTTGTGGCGTTGGTCTATCTCAAGAACAGCTTCCTCAGCTCAAGTCGCCTAGGCGCCTTCGTTCTCCACGATGCAATGGCACCACATGGATGTGCATGCAGCTGCTGCATTTGAAAAAAGTGCAGCTCTGCCACTGTACCATCAGCGGTTGGTGTGACAATGCGCTCTGCTCTCGTCAAAAAACGCGGGGTGAATGCTTGCGGAATTTTGGCATCAGTTTTTGAATGTGTGCTGTGACTCGCCGTCATGCGTCACCGCTGGAATTGGCGACAATTGCGAGTTGAGGGACTTCTCTTACCTGAACCGCGCAGGAGTGGTCAGCTTTGCAAGGGCTTTGGCGCCAGCTTCGGAGAGAGGTGGCAGAGGTGACTTGCCGGAGCGGTCATGGTTCTTCATTGCTTTACCAGAAAGCGTTTAGATTGACTCGCTTGGACATGGATTGCCAGGCACGGACAGCATCAATTCATTCCGCTTCCACGGCATTGGAGCAAGCAGCCGGAGACATCACGGAAGATGCAGGCTCTGAAGGCAGGAGTGGGGAAGATGTGCCCCTTCTGCTCCAGCATCAGTGCATTATGGCTCCATGCCATAGTACTCGTGTTCCTGTTGCCTGTTGAGACGCAAGTCTGAAGTTACATGTATCAGCTCTTGCCAGCATCCGTGTCTGAAGGCGGGCTGTATGGCAGCAGGAGTGTGCTCGACCTCAGCATGTCCTTGCAGACTTGCGCTGCTGTTGAACTGCCCACTGTTCCCAGCATTCGTTTCAATTGAAAAGCCCTTATCCAGGCCCCAGATTTCCATGACCCCATCTCTCCGATGCCACGAGATGGCTCTGTGCATCGAGTTTCAGGCGCGACTGCCTTCAGGCGAGGAGGACGATGCAGAGGCGGCCTGTGTAGATGCGGCGATCTTCTTCTGAAACTTTGAGGACAAGCAATACAGCACAGTAAAGCAGTGTGCAGCATATTATAGACGCACGTGCTACAGATGTAGTTTGAAGGGCTATCCGCCCCTGCCATTGCCTGCCTGACAGGGCAGTCACCACGGCAGCCGGCGGGGCCAGAGGACGCAGACGCTGAAGACCATGCAGACTGCATGGCATGTGAAGAACCTCAAAATGGGTCTCAAAATGCATCTGCAGGAATCTGCCGCCAGCCTCGGCCTGGAGCGAGGACGGAACTCCTGGAAGAAGAGCCCTCCAACTTCCAAAAAAAAACACATCCGAGCTTTGCAGCGAAGTATGCAAGAGGCCGAAGCCCCGAAGTGCCCCAGAGCTCCTTGCGGCCAGGACGGTAAGGCCGGACGCGGAGGCAGCGGAGACCCTTCTGGCCTGGCGCGCGCAGCGCAGCGCTTGGCGAAGTTGGAGGCCCGAACACGCATCCATATCTGCGGCTGAAAAGCATAGCGGTTTGTCGGCTACTGAAGTGTATCTCATGGGCATATGAAAAAACGGCGATATGGTTTCGCTAGATGCCGGCGTGCGGACGGGGTGAATCCTTGGTGACTGAGACCAGCTCAAGCATTTGAGTGCAATTTGGGGTGGCCTTCGTTATCGTCAATCCGGCATTCCCTCGCAGCCATTTCCTGCACAGATTGGCATGGGCAGGAGGAGCTGGAATTGCAACAGCAAGAGCTGAAGCGGAACCACCAGATGGAACACGGAGAGGCCGGCCGAAGCAGCCTCGCATGCACCAAGCTTTTCAAGGTCACGTGTGACCTTGATCCGTGGAGAGCTCATTCGCGCCTGCATTCAGCTTCTGTGCCGGAGGATGGTGGCGTGCTGCTGGTCGGACATGCCTTGCTCCATCAACGTGCCTTGGTCCGCATGTTAATTCTTACTGTAGCAGCGAAGGCCACTCTGCATCCTATATCCTATTATATCCCCAAGGATTCCCCTAAACCCCTAAACCCTAAACGGCCCAAAACCGCGCAGAATCGCGCAGGTCAGTTGGAGAAGCTGGCGGCGCAGCGAGACATCTGCCGAAAGGAGCTGCAGGAGCTGCTCGAGGCCAGATCGAAGCGAGGGGACTCTGCCGACTCATATCATGTAACTGCGATATATCTGTATGTATATATATATATACATATATTATTACTATTATTCTTATTATTATAATATTATATAATATTTTATTTTATTATATTATATTACAATATATTATATTATGTTATATTATATTAGATTAGATTATGTTATGTTATGTTATGTTATGTTATGTTATATTATATCATATATATTGCAATTTGATATATGATCTTTAAAGCAGTATAATAAACTATACTATAGTACAATATATACTATAGCAAAATAGAAAATAGCACCATATACTTTCCACTTCTAAAATAAAATATACTATATAGTTCAACGTACTAGAACAAAATAGAATATAGCACCGTGCACTTTCAGTTTCACTTTACACGCAGGCTGCATCAAGGGAAGGCTGGTCAGACGAGCAGCTGGCCGCATGCGAGAAGCTGGCGGACGCTTGGCCGCCGCGAAGTTTGTTCTGTGCTTTTGACTGTTCAGAATTGGTCTGCCGGGATGCTGCATGCTGCAGCCACCTTGCACTGCAGCGACGAGTGCCCTGTGGCGACTCATCCCGTGCTTCGAGGCACGCTGCCAAGACTTGGACCACGCCCTGCGCTCGTGCACGGAGAAGTCCGCACTGCTCAGGGAGGACGCGCAGAAGGCCGGCAGCAACGCTGGTTCCTGCGATGGTCGGGCACTGCGTCGATTGGAACACCCGTGGGGATACCCGTGGGGATGGCAGGTCTTGACCTCCAAAGGAGGCTCCTCCGCCTTTGGAGCAGCAATTGCTGCAGCTTTCAATGCGAGCGATGCGGAGCTGCCACCTGGTGTTAAGGTTTTATTTTAATTCATGGCGTGGACGACAGGCTAGGCTTTTTAGCAAAATGCAATGATCGTCGCTCTTGCACCGAAACGCCTCAGTCAAAAGAAGCCTGTGATCTAAGGCAAGCAGCCTTGTCGGAAGCTCTCCGGCGTATGGCCAACTTTGAGCATGACTTGGAACAGCAGCGGGCTGCATTGAAGAGGTGCCGCGCGTGTGATGGAAACGGGACGCGCCCAGACACGACCTGCTGACACGCGCCGCCGCAGGCGTCGCAAGAAAGAGCCTGGAGCGATGGCAGACGATGAAAGCCTCACCGCACTCGTCGTCGAGAAGGGCCAAGCTCTCGCTCAGTGCCAGGCGCCAGCTGCATCGAGTCGGCCCAGACCGCCCACGTGTGTAGTGCCTGACACACTGTGACTCCGTAAACCCCAAAAGGATGCGAACCCTACAACTCCCACGATGGCGGCCGTGGGCAACCGATTGCTCTTTGAAGCCAGCCAGGACTTTGCAGAGAAGATGCCAGCGCAAGCTTGGAACCTGATCGTCTCCACGTGGCTAGACCTTACTGGCCACTGTCTATCTTGTCTCTAAGATGCACTCGCGAGGATTGCATTGGATTCCCCCCCGCTTTCAATTCCACACACCATTTGCGGTGCAAGGATCACACTGAACTCTGTTTGGCCCGATGGCAGAACCAGCAAGGAGCTCCACAGTCCTGTCTCCGAGGTGGCACGGGAAGCTGACCGACGGCTTAGAACGCTTGGCCATGCGCGCGGATGTTGAGGGAGTTGAGGAGCTTCGTTTGTGGGGCAGTGAAGTGTTGGATGCAGAGGGACATTTCTCGTACACCGACCTTTGCGTAGAGGCTGACCTAGAGCGTCGAACGATCAGGTCTGCTGAAACTTACCTGCTTCAATTGTGATGGGTCTAGACCGTGTGTGGACGCTCCTACGAGTTTTGAAGGGGGGGGGACTGTGCTGCTTTCTCTATAGATCTCGGTCAATGTAACCGGGCAAGCAAAGAGACTCCCTAAAGAAATGCCTTTGCCTAGCAGGGCGCGCCAGCCTAGCGGACTTCACGGCCAGGACTCGTCAGAGGACGAGGATGCCAGGCAGCGCCGGAGGTGCCTCGTCGAGGAGTCTTCTCGTTGCGCTGGCTGCTGGCTTGCGCACCCTTGCTCTCCTCTTGCTTGCCCTGCCAGCAATCAGGTTACTTGTGGATCGAGGGGAGGCTGCCAGTACCTGAGATAATGTGTTCGTTTTGCAGCAACGAACGAGAGACCAAGAGCTGCCTCCAGGTAGACCCATCAGCAGCACTCCAAGAAGCTCGAAGACGTGGCTCGGGCTGTATCAGCTTCTCTCATAACTTTTCCAGGACATCGCCTTTCTGAATTTTTGTGCTCACAGCTTAAGCAGGCATCACGGTTTTTCAAGCAAAGGCCTAGCCCAGCTGGCCGAGGACGGACGTGCCTCACAAAGGAATTGCAAGAGAAGCCATCGGGTGCCAGGGTGTCTCCATGTGTTTCCTCAGAGCTTCTACTAAAAAAGGAGGCAGAGCGCCAGCGGCTCGGGCTGAAGCGCCGGCAGCGCCGTGCACGCGGGGAGGAGGCCAGAGAGTTTCAAGGCGTTGATGATGAGGTCTCGTTGTTCTGCGTCATGCTCTCAGTAAGTATGTTCTGCGATTGAAACTCTATCCTCCATCCTTGGCAGGGCAGCGACGATGACAGCTCCCTTGAAGAGCAGACATTGAGGCCCAACAACTGCATCTGCTCCGGGTGAATCCCCGTGTTTTCACCATGGCAAGCAGGGATGCTGCAGATTTGTCTTGCGTAGACTTATGTAGACGAGTCTGAGACATACACGTGCGAAAGCCTTTCGCGGTGAGAGAGCAAGATGGCCAACATGACACGACCGATGAAAGCTGCAAGCTGCGTTGTTTCTTTGCCACTGGCAGGTCATCTGCCATCTCTGCCTGGGGTGATGCTGCAGCGCCTCGATCTGCGATCTTAAGAGAAACTCAACGTGTCTTTTTGGGCACGGGAGCCTTGGATGAATCTTCGGACATGCTTGTGGCCGAGGGGAAGAGTGGGGAGATCGAGCGTCTCAAGGCAGCTCAGAGGCCGATGCAGTTGTCAGGAATTATTTTATTGAGTCTTGAGTATTGGGGAAGCCTCCCTGAACGGCCAGTGATGAGCGTATCAGACAGTATTGGTATTGTCGGTCGTATCTCATGTTGCACCTGGCATCGGGCGCTTGGAAGAGCTTCCGCTCAGGGGGATGGGCCGCTCAGCCTGGACGGATGCAGCAGCCTCGGTCACGTAGCAGATCTTAGCCATAGCATCAACGAGTTCTTTGTATGGCATGCTGTGAATGCAAAGCTTGCAGAATCGTCTATGTGACTGCAGCTGCATTCTGATCTCCGGGACATTGGGAAGCTACTCTTTCAACGAAGCTGCCTCCGACCGAGGACCCAGCTGCCTCCCCCGACGTTCCAGCCTAAGATTCCGGCATTGCATAGCCTCAATGGGGTGTAGTACTGGGTGCAGGCAAACGGACGAAACATGTTCTGCTTGCTGCGTGTCGGTTCTGCGTTGCCACAGGACTTCTACCCATCTTCGCTGGCAGAGGCTAAGCAACGTCTCGCCGGCTTCGAGGTCTGAGGGGAAGAGCGTCGGGAAGTCATACCTTCTGGCGCACTGAGGCATAGAATGAGAAAGTGGCAGAGTACACACGGCTCGAAGAAGAAACATCGAGACTACACTGCTGTCGCAAGCCTGGTCTGGCTTTCAGGAGCAGCTTCGAGCCCAGCAGAAGTCACTGCGGCGCTTGGAGCAACAGAAGCGGAGCGGTCAGGTGGGCTTCGATGTGCGAGTCTGTGTCAGTGACTGCGGGGCTCATTCTTGCTTATCTTAGCTCATTCCATGGTCTGTTCCGAAGCCCGTTCAGGCGGATGATGTCTTGCTTGCAGAGCATGCTTTGCTGAACCAGGGTGCCTTGGCAAGCTGGTGCAAGTCGATTGAGACGTGCTGCCTAGATCCCTCAAGCCACACAAGACTTCAAGGTACTTCAAGAACTGTCCCAGCTAAAGTGATTATAAGGACAGGAATGATAAGAACGACAGCCAGTACCGTAGAAGCCTCTGAAAATGCCTGCAGGTGCCCTGGAGGCCTTGGCAGCTGAGCGGGGCCGCTGCCGGCGACAACTCCAGAAGCTCTTGCAGGCCGTGTCTGGGGTTTCTGGGGCCAGTTTCTGGGGTTTGAGGCTTAAGGGTTCAACGGTTTAGGTTTTGGAGGTTTGGGGTTTGGGTTGCTGTGGCGTATCGGGCTTTAGACAGATCGCTTGAAGGCAACAGTGAATGGGGAAGCTTTATGCTTCTAGAGACTTTCACTGGCCCTTGCTCAGACACATTCAACAAAAGTGAGACCACAGCCACATTGAGGTTCGTAGTGGCGGCTGGAGCCCTTTGAACGGCAGGTGGCAGAGGCTGAGGGCTGGTCAGAAGACCAGCGAGCAGCCTACGACCAGCTGGTGGTGCCTTGGATGCAACGCCTCTTTGCAAGCATGATCCATGCTTCGCATGAGGTATTCCTGAGAGCGGCTTCCGAGGCGCAATGTCAGCGGTTGGAGGAGTCCTTCAAGTCGCTGGACCAGACAGCAGAGATGCTGCAACAAGGCACCGAGGAGGCGAGAGAGTTCATCGCAGTCCATCAAAGTGCTGCCGTACCGCCCGCCACAGCCGCGCAGGCCGTCGCTGCCCCTGGCGCCACATCGGCGATCGAGGCGCTCAAGGCCGCACTGTCGGGCAAAGTCGACGATCCGGAACTGCGACTGGGCAGAAACAAAGTTGTCGCGACCGCTGGCATTCGCATGCACTGCCATTCGCTGGGGACCAACACCGATGCATCCAGGCGCGCAGCCTTGGATGTTGCCCTGAAGCGCCTGGCCAGCTTTGATTCGGATCTGGAGCAGCAGCGTGCGGCCTTGAAGAGGCCAGCAAAGGGACAGGAAGGATCAGAAAAGATTGTAGAGACACAGGGAAGCGACATCGGTGCTTGTGGCCAAGCTGCTACATAAAGCATTTAAAGCTTGAGTGAAGGCGGCGAGTCCGGTCGTCGAGCTCTACAAGCGATGCCACGGAGCTTTCTGCGCTGGTGGAGCTCATCGACGGGCGGAGCGGGGCCTTGTCACAGTGCGAAGCAACTTGGCCGGAGGCGAGCTTCGACCTTCTAGAGCTTCTGTGCTGCTGTGAGCCTGTGTGACCTGAGATGATCCGAGGATTTCGCCCACAAGCTTCCGTCAGAGCTGTGGCAGCTGATCTTGTCCTTGCAACTTGGTGGCAATGTCTGGAGGTGCTCAGCTGTCTACTCACAGAGCGAGCACACTTCAGGTGGAGAGGGAAGCTTACAGACGACCTGCGGCACTTGCTGGAGACAATCCTTGGCCCAGATGTGGTGCAGGACCCAATGTTTGCCAGCAGCACATGCTAATGATGATGGCGCCGAAGTCTCTCGCCATCTGGTAAACTATGGTAAACTGTGCTATCCGCCTGAGATTTTTGGTCTCCTTTTCAGGACGATGCCTCTGAAGATGGTGGGGATGGAAGACGGAGCAGGCCGGAGAAGTCTATTTCAAACCCGTGCCCTTGACGAGTCTTGTATGGTCTTGTGGGCAGAGTTTCCCCTCCGCCAGGCTAGGCTTCAATCGGGACGAGCCCGTGCACTCCTCAAGCTGTGATTGCCGAGTGATGTGTTTTTGTTTGGAATCTGAAGCTCGCAGTCTGTGTTGGACACACGTGTGGTATCCTCAGACCATGTCATGAAACGAGGTCGACACAGATGCAGCTCTGAGAGAAGCACGGCGCCGCATCCTGGATTGAATCATCGAGACTTTCTGTTCAAGACTGGAGAGTATAAAGTCACTGACAAATCTTGAAGTGCGCTTTGGTCTCAGCAGACTGACCTTGCCACCGCGAGGTCTGATGCAGCTTGCCGAGGAGTGTAGGGGGTTCGTGTACTGCAACAGTGCGCTGTCGAAATACTTTTGTTGCTTGCTCATAGTCGTAGCCAAAGCATTCTTGGTGGGGGAGGGCCCCATGCGGTGGGGGAGGGCCCCATGCCCACGGCTGCTTGGCGTCCTCCGGCTCAGGAGGAAGCGCGGCAGCGAGCGAGGCTGACGCGGCGTCGGAAGCCGCAGGGCGAGGAGCAGGCCCGGAGAAATCCCCAGGGCCGAGGGCGCTGCTCCACCCATGGGGACACGCTACTAACTATTATTATTTACGGGCTGCCGCCAGTGCCGCCGACCCCGAACGCTGAGAGGTGACTATCCAGTGATGCTGTGTCAGACCCGACTTCAGCCATAGTGCCCAAGCTAGTCGTGCCAAGCTTTTTACCATCGACGAGAGGCGTG